AACATCTCCTCCTGTATATAAGTTTAGGTAGGTATACTGCGACTGAATAGCAATCTTCCTAAACACGATAGTTGGCATCTATCCAAGGCGAGTCGGTTCATAGAAGACTTAGAACTGGAAGGAGTCTCAAGCAAGAAGTAAAGTATCAAGGTAGCTATAGGTTGGCGCTGTAGGTTCAAGGACTGGTTGAGCTTACATTAGACAGAGTAGTAGAAAGGTCCCATAGGACACTGCAGGAGAGAAGCTGATAAGGGCGACTGTTCAAATTTTTGGATTTTGTCTGCAGTCACGACACCAGTTGTATTATTAAAATCATTTCGAATTCCCAACAGTATACCTCCTAATAAAGAATTTTGTTAATCTTACGTCAAAAATAGCATATTCTATTCCTTAATCAGCTGTGACAACAGCATGTCTCATTTTTTTTGAAAAATTAAAAGTCACGAAAAAAGTTGTTTTTTTTTCTTAAATTTTAAATGAAAAAACATTGATAAGGAGAGATTTAAAAAATAAGAAAAGACTTTAATTGGTGGTATTGTAAGAGACAATTAAAAAAGCTGTACAAATAACTTCTTTTTACTGTCTTCTTAGATAAGCAGCTGTTAAACATTTGTCTAAACAGGTTTAAAAGCCAAACTTTCAAATCAGAGCATTGCTAACCAATCAGATCAGTTAATATCCAACTTTTTTAACGACTTATTAAGAACAACCCTTTTTTTGAGAGGTATAGAAAAAATAAATGCATTTGTGCAATTGTGCTGTCAAATCGCTTTTCACTACGACAGTAGTAAACAAAAAAAATTTTTTTTTGGAAACAATGCCAAAAAGAAATTTTCATTCTGCGGACAGTATTTAAGTTGTTTTGTTTGTAACTTTAAACTTCACCTTTTAATCGGTAAATAAAAGTTACGAGTTTTACTCTGATATACGTAATTTTGCGGGTGATAAATGAAAAAAACAGCTGTTCCCACTTAAAAAAAAAGTTTAAAGGAAGTTGAATTACCCACCAGTTTTAAGCAAGATAATCACCAAGATAAACTGTGAGATATTAAGAAAAAAAAACAAGCGTGAGAAAAACTGCAGAAAGTTTTTTGGGTATCTTATGGCGATTAACAGGTGCGGTTTTTCAAGTTTCTACTGTTCGGATACAAGGAAAAAAATGGTCTATATTCATTAAAATTGGTTTATCCGAACCAAAAAAACCAATGTATATTTATAAACTTTGGTGTTCACTTAAGCTAAACGTATTTAATTTTGAATATTCATAAAAATAAACTGCATTGGAAGCAGCCAAAGAAGTCAATGCTTTTGAATAAAAGACAAAGGATTGTCAGAAGTCTAAAAACCACTTTTTTTCCTGCTTTCAACAGACAGCAACGAATTTTTGGGGTTAGCCAACTCCAAAGGAGGCTTTGTATTCAAAGTAATAAGTTGAATAATTGGATGTAGATTTAAAAAAAAAAAA